ATGAGATAGTGATGATGGTTACACAACTTTATGAATATACTAAATCCCACTGAATTCTATAGTTTAAAAGTGTCGATTTATGGCTTGTGAATCGCATCTCAATAAAAGAAAACACATACACAAACCAATACTACATATTTTACAAGAAAATATACTGTTTAAGGACATATCAAAATTCTGCAGTGGTTGCCTGAAGGGGAAGGAGATGGGATTGGGATTAGGATGGGGTGGAGGAGGCCTTTTCATAGCCCATGAACTGGAGATCATTAACTCAATGCTCTGCACCTGTGGTAAAACCAACAAATAAACAACAATAAAACAGAGGGTGAGGGGAAGGAAGGAAAACGTGTTTATAAATAGTTTTAATGAGGCAAAATACTTATGCTATAATGATTAATGAAAAGAAACAGAATACTACAATAGTAGGGAACATTATAAGTGCAACTATGTAAAATGATGTAAATAGGCAAAAGTGTGACAGCCAGCTATAGGCAGAGTAGTGTAAAATCTTGACTACCAGGGTACTTAATCTCTCTGTAGCTTAGCTTCCTCATGTAAAGCGGAAATGATTATAATAACACCTACTTCCAAAGGTTCTTATGAGAATTAAATGAGTTAATTTATGCCTGATATCTAGTAAACCTCGTGTAAGGGTTACCTGGTATTATTATTTTCCTAATTTTTTTTTTAAAGATTTTATTTTTCCTTTTTCTCCCCAAAGCCCCCCGGTACATAGTTGTATATTCTTCGTTGTCGGTTCTTCTAGTTGTGGCATGTGGGACGCTGCCTCAGCGTGGCCTGATGAGCAGTGCCATGTCCGCGCCCAGGATTCGAACCAACGAAACACTGGGCCGCCTGCAGCGGAGCGCGCGAACTTAACCACTCGGCCATGGGGCCAGCCCCAGCTAATTTTTTTTTTTTGAGGAAGATTAGACCTGAGCTGACGTCTGCTGCCAATCCTCCTCTTTTTGATGAGGAAAGTTGGCTGTGAGCTAACAACAATGCCCATCCTCCTCCACTTTATATTTGGGATGCCTGCCACAGGTATGGCTTGCTGAGTAGAGTATAGGTCCACATCCAGGATCCAAACTGGCAAACACCCGGCCGCTGAAGTGGAACATGTGAACTTAACTGCTGCACCACTGGGCCGGCCCCATTCCTAATTTTTTTAACTGTAGACTCTAGACTCAACTGGGCCCCACTACCCATTAATGATGAGACTTTCACAGAGTTACCCAATCAGAGCCTCAGTTTTCTCACCTATTCTGAGGATTAAAAGGGATAATGTACTTGGCACATAGTAAGCACTCAATGAATGCTAATGGATTACATTATTAGAATATTATTATTACATGGTTATAGTTTTGTTTTTTCGTTGTTGTTTTTTGTGAGGAAGATTCGCCCTGAGCTAACATCTGTGCCAATATTCCTCTACTTTGTATGTGGGATGCCTCTACAGCATGGCTGATGAGTGGAGTAGGTCCACACCCAGGATCCAAACCCATAAACGCCAGGCTGGGGCCGCCAAAACAGAGCACATGGAACTTCAACCACTCAGCCATGGGGCCAGCCCGTGTACAAAAAGGAATAAAAGTAGTACAAAAGTAGTACAAAAAGGAATAGAAGACACAAAATATATTTTTCATATTCTTCCTAACGTATAAATTCTTCCATTTTCATTCAATTTCACTTTGGGATGTAGTCTTCCCAGACCTTCCTCTCTAGATGGGTCCCCAAATTATATACTTGCATGGCACAGTGAACATCTCCTTCATAGGAGTAATTAATTAATTAGGTAGGTAAGCAATTTCTGGTTCATGTCTGTCATCCTCAGTCAAATCTCAGCTCCATAATGGCAAGGATGATATCTGTCTATGCACAATGTCTAGCACAGGGCCTGGTACTTTGTTGACTAACACGAATTTATTCAATGAATGAACAAGTAATGAAATACACAAAAGCATTTAACATGTACATTCTGAAATAGCACAGTCATGAGACTAAAGGCAAGTATCATTTCCTCCATCTCTCTGGGAAGTGAGGAATTGCCCATCTTGTATACTAGGAAGTGCTCATATTGTAAACTAGGAAGATAGTCAACATTCAGATTCTGGGAGCTGCTTTTGGCAGCTAGCTCTTCCTTACTAGAATCACACTGCCTGAACCTGTTCCCAGGAATCCTTTCAGTTACAATAGAGCTCTGGAAACTCAGTACTTTTCCAGAATCTCCTATTCAATAAAGGAAAAGTACTCAGTCATTCCAGATTGTACATTAGCCCTTACCCACCGGACACATAAAAGGGTAGGGACCTTAAAACTGTCTTTTATGTCACAGATGAGAAAATGGGCTCAGAAAAGGAGACTGACTTTCCTAAGCCTAACACTTGTTAATAATAGAGCTAGTGCAAATGGAAATAGGATCATTCTTACAGTTCTCTCTCTCAATATAGTATAATATAAAATATATGTCGATAATGTGATGCTATCATTAATTCAAAATAATGTTTATGAAAGAATTTTTTATTACATTAGGGAAAATGCTCTTTTTTTAAAAAAAGATTTTATTTTTCCTTTTTCTCCCCAAATCCCCCTGGTACACAGTTGTATATTTTTAGTTGTGGGTGCTTCTAGTTGTGGCATGTGGGATGCCACCTCAGCATGGCCTGACGAGTGGTGCCATATCCGCGCCCAGTATCTGAACTGGTGAAACCCCAGGCCACTGAAGCGCAGCGCTGGAACTTAACCACTCGGCCACGGGGCCGGCCCCAGGAAAATGCTCTTGATATGTTAAGTGACAGAAGCAGACTAGGATTGTATGTATAATACGTATTCAGTTATAAAATATACAAATATATGAGGGCATACATATGTGTGTGCATTTCTGAGTTATCTGTGTAGAAAATAAAAAAGGAAGTGTGTCAAAATATTAACAGTGTTTATCTCTGGTTGGTGGTGATATAGTTTATTTTTATTTATGCCTTTCTGTATTAAAATTTTATTTTCAATGAGCATGTAATAGTTTATAATCAGAAATTTAGGTCTTTGAATTCCTGATCTAACATTTTTGAAAGGTTTTATTTTGGTACCGATCAGCACTGTGGGGTGAGGGAGCATTAACCTAGAGACCAAATCAGTTTCACCAGACTTTTAACCTGATTTATAAAATGAGTATAATTATATCCACTTCCCAGTGCTATTGTGTGCAAGAAATAATAAATATTAAATTCTTTTGTAACTCTAAAGCTTGATAAAGGTGTTAGGTGGTATTATAATGATGATAAAGTCTCGTGATCTAAAAGATGTAGGAGAACCCTTAGGATAACAGCTCCTTTGTGCTGAGGAGCTTATGTTGGGAGAGGAGAGAGATCTTAGTGTCAGGAGAAAAGTAAGAGCTTTTTTTGCAAACACTTTAGAGAAACAATCACATGCCTGACCCCCCTTCTCCCCTGTATATCCTCTGTACTTCCAATAAATGCCTCAATATTCCCTCTTCAGATTAAATCTTCTGTCTGTCTCTTAAGCAGCCCTTGCAGGAGGCAACATGTAGTGGACAGGATCTAGTGTGTTTTACGGCAATGGCAGCTTTGTTTCCCATTCCCTGCAGAGTGTGAAAGGCAGCCTATGTAGGAATGTGACCTGCACCCTACTAAGGCCTGTCTAATCCCAAACCAGAAAGAGGCTATTTCCACTCTGGATGATAAGAGTTTGTTATGAAAAGAAGGTAACTTTTAGCTGGACCATCTGTATTGAGCTTTATTCTTTGCAAGGCTTTTTCAATCAATATCTTTGGGGTCTCACAAAGTCTATGGAAAATAAGATTTCACACACAGCAATGATTTTTAAATTAGAGATGCCAAATGTAGTATGCCAAATTACTGTTACTTTTATATTTTAAAAAGTAATACAGATGTATGGTAAATTTATCCAAGAGAAATGAAAACGTATGTTCACACAGAAACCTGCACAAGAACGTTTATAGCTGCTTTATTCATAATTGCCAAAAACTGGAAATAACTCAAATGTTCTTTAACTGGTAAACAGATAAACTGTGATACATCCCATATAATGGAATATTATCCAGCCATAAAAGGGAATGAACTATTGCTAAACACTACAACAGGGACGACTCTCAAATGCATTATGCTAACAAGGTAAGGGAAGCCACATCCAAAAGGCTACACGCTGTATTATTCCATTTATGCAACATTCTAGAAAAGGAAGACTACAGAGGAGAACAAATCAGTAGTTGTCAGAGGATGACATGGGGGAGGGGTTGACCACGAAGAGACAGGAAGAGGGAATATCGGGGGGTAATGGCACTACTCTTGATTATGATGGTTACATGAATATGCATTTGTCAAAACTCACAGAACAGTAAAACAAAAAGTGAATTTTACTATATAAAAATTTTAAATAAATGCATGAAAGTAAAAACAAAGTAATATAGGCCCATGGTAAATTCAGTAAAGGAATTCACTAAAAAGTTTCCCTGCTAGATCTGGGTGATAATAGAACAATTCTCTATTTTGACTGCAGCGATGGTTACACAAATCTACACGTGATACAATGACATAGAACTATACTCACACATCATACCAATTTCAATTTCCTGCTATTTATGTTATACTGTAGTTAAGATGTACTCATTGGGGGAAACTGGGTGGGTGAGGGTACTGGGGTCTCTGTATTATCTTTTTAACTTCCTGTTCATCTCTCTATACATATACTTTAATGTATCTTTCAACCAAACTTCCAGACTCTGGTCCTGCTCCCCAGAGGGCAACACTATTACAAATTTCTTGTGTATCCTCTGTATGTTAAATCTAATATTTTATATATGTATATATGTACATACAAATTTACACATAAATACTTTTAGCACAAATAGTAGCATATTATACACATCATTCTGCACCTTGTTATTTTTCAACTATTACTTTGGATATTTTTCCATATCACAAACACATGGATTCACCTCATTCTTTTTTCAGGCTGCATAGTATTCTATTGCACAGTGGTATAATTTATTTCAACAGTTTCTTATTGGACATTCGGATCTTAACAAGGAATTGAACTTAAGTAATTTAGAAATTTTTGAAATATGAAAGGTCAGTTGGAGTTGAGACCAAACACAAAGTTCACAGATTGAAGACTTGCCTCCAGAATATCCTTTGACCAGAAGAGGGAATGCAAGAGGCAGGGCGAGAGGCAAAACGCTGGGAAATTGCCCCAGCCAATGGGGAAGCGGTGGGTAAGCAAGGAATTACTGCCGGGTAGGAGTTCTCGGAGCGGCGCCCTACTGCTGGAGTGGAGGCCATGCTCCAAGGCAAGCTTTCCCCAGACTGCAACTCAGATACAACGAAGTGTGTTTGGGTTATGCAGAGTGCAGTTATGCGTGGGCATCTCCAGCCTCCGGCGAAGACATCCTGCCCAGGCAGGGTCTGAACCCCCACCGCCTCCAGCCCACGCGCGTAGGGGGCGTACACGTGGTGACCTGCCTGGGGCCGGTTCCCGGCTCCGGCTCCTCCTCCCTCCAGCTCTTGCTCGGCTTCTGCAGTATCACGTGCGGCCGCGCCGGGTGCAGGATGGCGGCGGCGGCGGCGGCAGCAGCGGTGGGTGTAAGGCTCCGGGACTGCTGCAGCCGAGGCGCTGTGCTCCTGCTCTTCTTCTCCCTGTCTCCTCGGCCCCCGGCCGCCTCCGCCTGGCTGCTGGGCCTGAGGCCCGAGGACACCGCTGGAGGCCGCGTGTCCCTGGAAGGGGGCACCCTGCGTGCCGCCGAAGGCACCAGCTTCCTCCTGCGCGTCTATTTCCAGCCCGGGCCCGCGGCGCCCACGGCGACTGTGCCTGCACCCACCCTTTCCCCGGGGGAGAACGGCACCGGTGACTGGGCTCCGCGGCTCGTGTTTATCGAGGAGCCCCCAGGCGGCAGTGGCGTGGCGCCCAGCGCTGTCCCCACGCGCCCCCCAGGGCCGCAGCGCTGCCGCGAGCAGAGCGACTGGGCGTCGGACGTGGAAGTCCTGGGGCCCCTGCGCCCCGGAGGCGTGGCAGGCTCGGCTCTAGTTCAGGTGCGGGTGCGGGAGCTGCGCAAGGGCGAGGCAGAGCGGGGCGGCGCGGACGGTGGCGGGAAGCTCTTCTCGCTGTGCGCCTGGGACGGGCGCACCTGGCACCACCACGGCGCCGCTGGCGGCTTCCTGCTGCGCGTCCGCCCGCGGCTGTACGGCCCGGGCGGGGACCTGCTGCCCCCCGCGTGGCTGCGGGCTCTCGGGGCTATCCTGCTGCTCGCCCTGTCTGCACTGTTCAGCGGCCTGCGCCTGAGTCTGCTCTCGCTGGACCCGGTGGAGTTACGGGTGCTGCGGAACAGCGGCTCGGCCGCCGAGCAGGAGCAGGCGCGCCGCGTGCAGGCCGTGCGCGGCAGGGGGACCCATCTGCTTTGCACCTTGCTCCTGGGCCAAGCCGGAGCCAACGCGGCTCTGGCCGGCTGGCTGTATGCCTCGTTGCCGCCGGGCGTCGGGGATCCGGAGGAAGGCTACGGCGAGGCAGGGATTCACTTCCCGTGGCTGCCGGCGCTCGTGTGCACCGGCGCCGTGTTCCTGGGCGCCGAGATCTGCCCCTACTCGGTGTGCTCGCGGCACGGGCTGGCCATCGCCTCGCACAGTGTGTGCCTTACCCGGCTCCTGATGGCGGCCGCCTTCCCTGTGTGTTACCCACTGGGCCGCTTGCTGGACTGGGCGCTGCGTCAGGAGATCAGCACCTTCTACACGCGGGAGAAGCTGCTTGAGACGCTGCGGGCCGCGGACCCCTACAGCGACCTTGTGAAGGAAGAGCTCAACATCATCCAGGGCGCCCTGGAGCTTCGCACCAAGGTGGTGGAGGAGGTGTTGACCCCCCTCGGGGACTGCTTCATGCTGCGCTCCGACGCCGTGCTGGACTTCGCCACGGTCTCCGAGATCCTGCGCAGCGGCTACACTCGCATCCCCGTGTACGAGGGCGACCAGCGGCACAACATTGTGGACATTCTCTTTGTCAAGGACTTGGCCTTCGTGGACCCCGACGACTGCACCCCGCTCCTCACCGTCACTCGCTTCTACAACCGGCCCCTACACTGCGTCTTCAATGATACCCGGCTGGACACGGTGCTGGAGGAGTTTAAGAAGGGTGAGCAGTGGTTTATCTCCTCCCTCAACTCCTACCCCCTTCAAAAGTATTGCCCTTTCAAAAACATGTGAGCTTTCAGGCACCCAAGGCAACTTCTCTCCTACTGTACCAAAAGCTCAAGGAAGGCCTCGTGGCTCCCTGGCTCTTTTCATTTCACTTTTCCCTGCCTGCTTTGCAGCTGACCGAGCCCCTGGCCTCTTCCCCTTTACTTGGCTCACAAGAGGTACCTCATTCCCGATTGCTCATTCTTTCTATTCCAGTATTTTTTCAGGGCCTACCAGTTGCCAGGTATTGTACAGGTTGAACTCAGGGGATAACCCTTGAATGGGATTGCATAGCTCCCCATTACAGGAGGAACCTCTACTGGTTCCCATAACAAGCAGCCTTTGCTTTAAACTCCTCCTTGGGTGGGAAGCTCACCATTTCCGGGGCAAACTAACTCCATTGCTGGACAGCTCCAGCTACTAACAATGTCTTTCTCAAAGTGAGCAGAAATTTAGGACTGGGGAGCATCTCTCTGGGTCCTAATTCTGCCTTTGAATCACATAGAGTCAGCCCCAGACACTTTGGACTTTCTTGCCCGATGCTGAACTTTTCCATCAGCTATTCATTGCAGACGTGTCAAGTACCCAGGTTGGGGATTAAGAGTTGACTTAGACAGTGAGGTCCTTGTACTTCTGGGAACCATGAGGCAGGGTAGGTCTGGATCTGAGGAAGTATTCTGGTCAAGAGACCCACTAGAAAACTTGCATATTCAAATGAATGAGGTTTCCTTCAGAGCAGTCACCAGCCCCCCCTTGATGTCATGCCTATAACGTGTTTACCACACATGTCTAGGGTTTGCCTTTGGAAACTGGCTTCTGGGGTTGAGTACAATTCACTCCAGAAAAATCGGCCTGGATACTTTAGAGTCAATCCTCTTGGCCTTACACATTTGACTCGTCCCCCTAGTTAACCAGAGCTGACGTAGGAGGAGATTTGGTTGTTTTTGAAAATCAAATCTACCTTCAAGAGTCACCATTGAGAGCATTCAGAAGACTAACTCACAGTCACTGAGAGCAATTCCAGAAATGATTTGAGAACAATGACATGGTTAGAATAAATGTAGAACCTTCCAGAATGACTATTTTGAAGGAGACATTCACCTGTACATATGAGATGGCATATTTATTAAAAATGAAATAAAACAAAAAATCAATCCCCTGACATTAGAATTGGGCTTCGAGTGTAGCTTCCCTGTGGCTACCAAGAATCTCATTTGATGGTGTATTTTTGATACTCTTTTTTGCCTGTCAAAAATTCAATCTCATTACCTTATCAGCAGGTACTCTTTGTATATAAAGACTTTGCATGCAGAGAGAAATCTAGGGTCTTCCTCCTGCCACAGTATTTTTAGACAAGTGAAATTGTGTTAAATAGCAAAATGTAGCCTGAGAAGGGGGAAAAAAGTCGAAAGGCTACTTTCAGTCTCAGATTTGGGGAGAGAACAGCCCTAGATTTTGTGCTGGTATCATAAGGGGAGGGAAATACGTATATATTGCAGCTGTTTTAGCTCAATCTGGGCTACTGTCTCACCCTCTCCTGTCTGTCTCCCCCGGGTACTTGTGTGACTCATTCCCTCTGCACTCAGCTTCATCCATCCACTCTTAGAATTATTCCTACATTTTGTGTACCCTACAGAAGGGAGTTTTGGATCTGGGCATAAAAGCTGTGAAAATCTATGTTAGTTTGCTAGGGTTGCCATAACAAAATACCACAGACCGGATGGCTGAAACAACAGAAATTTATTTTCCCACAGTTCTAGAAGCTGCAAGTCCAAGTTCAAGGTGTCAGCAGGTTTGGTTTCTTCTGAAGCCTCTCTCCTTGGCTGGCATGTGCCCACCTTCTCAGTGTGTCCTTACAGGGTTGCCCCTCGGCTGTGTGTGCTCATCCCTGGAGTCTTTCCTTGTGTTCTAATCTCCTCTTCGTATGAGGACTCCAGTCAGATTGGATTAGGGCCCACCCTGTCAGCTTTGTTTTAACTTAACCACCTCTTCATGTGATAGTTAAGATAGAGTGCAGTTAAGCTAGAGTCTCATTGTCATGTGCTGCCAGAAGACGTTTTTAAGGACGCTCCTGTGAACCCATTCCTCCATTCATTTAGTATGCATTGAGCATCTGTGTAGCTTTAGGCAGCAGGGTAGGCAATAAGACTGCCCTCAGAAAGGAACAGTCTACAGGGGCATGCAGTGGTAAATAAGGGCAGTCTTCAGAAGGAGAAACTGTGTCTTACTAACCTTTGTTTCCCCAGCACCTTGCACAGTACCTTGCACGTAGTAGGCTGCTCCAAAAAGTCGGTATTGATCTGAAATGAGTCCTGTTGCAGAACTTCTAAATCTGGTCTGAAAAAGGCTCCTTAGTGTTCTGTTTAGTAGTTAGTTTGTAATTAGGTAGACCACTGAAGAGAAGCAGGCCATTACAGTGAACACCACACCAAGGAAGACTTTTCATGTCCCTTCAGAGCCTTGCTCCCTCCTGAAAGTGTGGTCCATAAATTAGCAGCATGGGCCTCACCTGGAAGCTCTTTAGAAATACAGAATTTCATGCCTTGCTCTCAATCCACTGAATGAAAATCAGTGTTTTAACAAGCCCCCATGTGACTCATGTGTATATTCAAGTTTGAGAAGCATTCCCTTCAGAGAACCCTTATTAACTCTGATTGGTAGATTTACTTAGACTAGAATAAATACTAGGAATAATTATCAAGGTGGGTGTTCTCTGGCTCCAAGCCATATAATACAGTTGTCATCTTCTTTAAGACATATGTTTGCCCTATAGGTTGGGAGAGGAAAGCCAAGTTGAACTACTCTTCTTTACCTTTAAAAATAACTTTTTAAGCCAGTCATAATAGCCCTTCTATTTGCCTCACTTCCTTGCATCTCTAGTAACTTAACTACCTAAACAAAGCCCTTAGGAAATAGGAGAGGAAAATAATATTGATAGGAACAACAGATACCGTTAATTGAGCAAGAGCTCTGCCAGGCACCACACCAAGCCCTTTACATTCTCAGAGCAACCCTCCTGGGTAGGTATCAAATCCATTTTACAGATGAAGAAACTGAAGCTCAGATCGATAACACGACTTGCTCAACTTCCCATAGCTAATTACTGACAGAATTGTGATTTACGCTAGATCTGTAGAACCCCAAAGCCTGTTCTTTTCCCAGCTACACCAGTCTTATTCCATCCTCCATCCCAAAACTCCTGCCACCCACAGGGTTCCAAAATGGCCTTTCACCTCTGACTTGCTGCCCATGGTTGATTCATCTCTTGTTTCTTGTTTCTACAGGTTAGAAATGTAGCTTTTATAATTACCATAATTGTTAACATGCATATTGCATTTTACAAAACATTTATAGCTACCTTCTCTCATCTGATCCTTAAATAACTCTGCAGGTACAAGTGAAGACCCTAAGGCCCAGAAGGGTACCTTGGCCTGCCTAAGGTCAGCACTCAGCTAGAATATTCCAAGGCCCAGATTCAAATGCAGGTCATGTGACTCCAAAGCTCTTCTCCATATGGGATTTTCTATATATGTTTATTAGGAGTTCCAGATCTTTAGAAGTGGGGTAAAGGAAAATGGTCTTTCCAGCCAGCATGCTAGGTTTACAAAAGGAAACAATATTTCTCCCCACTGGGCTGTGAGTTCCTTGAGGGCTAAGAATGAATCATATTTACTTTGTATTCTCAGGACAAGCACAGCGGCCACCATGGCTAGGGGATGAATAAACATTTATTGAATAAATGTCCTTAAATAGCTAACTTCTACTATATTTCTATGTTCCAGTGAAGTGAACCCTAACTCCATTCCATTCACCATAACCAATCTCTCCTCTTCCTCTTCCTGTGTTCTCTACCCCAGTTAGTGGCACCACTTGCCCTCCAGTCCCCCTGGCTAGAAACCTCTGCTTCACCCCATACCCTCATCCTACTAATCACTATCTTAGTCTGCTTGGGCTGCCATAGCAAAATACCATACACTCAGTGGCTTACACAGAAATTTATTTTCTCACAGTGTGGGAGGCTAGAAGTCAAGATCAAGGTTCCAGCTGATTTGTTTTCTGTTGAGAGCTCTCTTCTTGGTTTGCATATGGCACCTTCTCACTATGTCTTCACATGGCCTTTCCTTGGGGCACACGCAGAGAGAGAGAGAAAGAGAGAGAGAGCACACTTGTCTCTCCTCTTCTTATAAAGACACCAATCCTGTTGGATCAGGGCCCCACCCTTACGATCTCATTTGACCTTAATTACTTCCTTAGAAGCCCCACTGCGGGTTAGAGCTTCAACGTATGGGTTTGGGGAAGGGAAGGGCTACAACCATTCTGTCCATAACAGTTGCTAAAGTCTGCCAAATATTTGGAACAAAGTCTGCAAGAAATTCGCCAATATTGCATCCAAGTATAGGTATTTCTTGTACCATTTCTTCCACTTAGGTTATTCATTGATTTTATTCAAGGAATAGTTACTGTGTACCTGTTGTGTAGGCACAGTGGAGACACCGCCAGTAAGGTCCCTGCCTGCATGGAGCTTTCATTCTAATGCAAGGGACAGAAATTAAACAAATGGAATAGTGATTAAGAGCATAAGCTTTGGTGCCAGACTGCCGGGGTTGTACCCTGGCCGTGGGCAAGTACTTAACTCTTTGTTTCATTGGCTATAAAATAACGATAATAAGAGTATTTACTCATAGGGTTGTTTGAAATGTTAAGACAATATTACATAATACTGCTTATTTAGTAACTGTCATAATAAATCCTAAATAAATGTTAGCTATGATTATTAAATATAAACACAAATCGATTCCCCATTTGTGCAAATGCCTCCTAAGATGTTTTCTTCCGATTTTTGTCTCCCTCAAATCTATCCTCTCCAGTGACACTGAAATAATCTCCGGTGATGTCATCCCTGCTTAAAACCCTTCTGCACTCCCCACTGCCTGCAGGATAAAGTCTAAGCTGTAC